CCTCCTCACCCTCCTCCTCCATCCACAGCTCACCCAGGGCCACCGTCCCCTCCACCTTGCCCATCTCCCGGTCCCTTTGCAGGGTCTGGGTGCCCTCAGCACCCCCCAGATCCTCACTGCACCCCAATCTCCCCCTCCCTGGGTGGGATTTGTGCCTCCCCATCGCCTTCACCCACCTGGACCTTCTCAGCCTCCCCGCGCTGCTCCTGCCACTGCCGGGCCAGGCTCTCCTCCAGCATCTCCTTCCGAGCTCGCAGCCCCTCCAGCTCCTTCTCCAGGTGCTGGAGCTGCCCCCTGCTCCTCTGGTTGTCCTCCACCGCCTTCCAGAGGCTCTCCTTGGCCTGGCACAGGGATCCCTCCAGCTGCCACACCTCCGCCTTGTAGGTCTCCACCGCCCCTTTCCATATCTCCGAGAGCCTCTTGGAGTAGTCCTCCACCTCCACGGGCTGGAAAGCCACCGGCGCACAGGGGAAGGTCTCCAAACCCTGCGAGAAGCTGGTGATCTCCTGGTCCAGCCCCGCTTTCTCCTCCTCGTGTGCCTCCAGCAACGCTCCCACCTCCTTCTCCAGCTGCGCCGCCCGCTCCTTCAGCCAAATCTGCGCCCTCCTCTCCTCCTCCAGCTCCTTTTTGCCCAGGGACAGCAGCTTCTTGGCTTCCTCCCGGGCTGCCTGCTCCTTCTGGCACCTGCTTTTCACCCTCTCCACCTCCTCGTAGAGGTTGTCCCTGGCCAGCTCGGCCGTGCATTTCTCCCTAAAAGCATGGTCCAGGGCATCCCGCAGTGCTCGCAGCTCCTCCTCGTACCTGGCCCTCCACGCGTCGCCGTCGGGGCTGCCCTTGGCGCTCTGGATTTCGGCTCGCAGCACCTCGTTCTCCTCCTCCAGGAACTTCACACGGGCCAGGTAGGCCTCCAGCCGCTTGTTGAGGTCCCACATCTGCAGCGATTCCTCGCCCAGGGCTCTCGCCCCAGCCAAACTTTCCGTGCTCAGCATCGGGTGATGTTGATGAGGATGCCGGGGGGCTCTGATCCCGGAGGATGCCGGAGGATGCCGGAGGATGCCGGGCTCTGGAGGAGCGGGAAGGAAGGCGGGGAGGGAAGCAGTGGCTGGGAGCGCAGGGGAGCGCCGCTATTCATACTCCGCACCAGGCGAGTGGGAGGCCCCCGAGACCCGGGGCCAGCAGCGGAGTTTAACTCTTCCGAGGCCGGAACGGCTCCAGCCCCATTGCCCA